TTTACAATATTATCATCGTCTTTTGTCATTGTAATTAAAGAAAATTCATTGTATGTTTTTGGATAAAAATTTAAAGTTATTTTCATTAGTTTTTCTTTATGCAAATGATGTTAAAAGAAGAGCGAAAATGGAAAAGGAAAAAAGTTGTTCCAACCTTATACATCTTCGTATGTCACTCCTTACACTATAAATAAGAATTAGGACCAAAGTTGTCCTTTTGCAAATTGATGCTTAAAACTAGAATGAATGAGAATTTCATAACGTAATACTTTAATATAATTCTTTTTACCAAACGAGTGAAATTAGAAAACTTTCCGACCCAATTTACTGATCATCTACATGTCAATATGAAATTGAGAGTCTAGATTTCTTTTACTGATATTTCAACACATATTTATGTAGTCTTTTAGTATCAACCCCCATACATTTTTACATGTCCTCTCCTAGTACTTGACCCGGTTTGAGATAGTATTTTATTCTTTTAATAATAACAAAAATGTGAAATTAAAATTGAAGATCTCTCCCAAAATTGAAAAGACAAGTGTTAATAGACCAAACGCTAATTCTTTTGATAAAAAGATTCTTAACGTGTAGCTCAAACATTTACTTGAGGAAAAATGTTTAAAAACTCTGCTTGTATAGCTAATAAGCCCCATATTTATGTTAAAAATACGTGTGATGCAATCTTCTGAACATTACTCTCAACAGAACTATAAATGAAATAAAAAAGTGCATAATGACATGTGGATCATGTGATGATTATCAACATTTAGAGATGGATGATTTAATTTATCTAACATGTTTTACGAGTTGGTTATTAAGGATTAGAGACTTAGTTAACCTCCCTATATTTGATTAATTAAGTAGCATTGCATTTACTTTGGACAAACAAAATAAATAAAAAGAAACAACTCCCATGAAATACAAGGACAAAACCAAATCACAGATGGATCATAGTAGAATGCACAATTGGACGATTACACGTGCAGCAGCTAACATGCACGTGGGGAAGCTTAATAATAGCCGACCAAGACCCTCATGTGCTAATCATAGTGCTTTAACATTTCATGACCAACTTGGTTTTACGAAAGACCTATCAAAGTATCTCTAATGTAAAGACTCAATTTTAGACAATATTTTTACATTTGGATCTTAAAAGATGATGTATCTGGATCTTAAAAACTCAAATTCTAGAACTCAGTTTGAGTTTCAAAATTTGAGTCCCTACACTACAGAAGAAGATATTGGACTCAAAATTCATATTTGAATTTTAACAATTTGGTTGTGTATTGAAGACGATTGGACTCAAATCTCATTATTCTTGGTTGAGTAATAATTTTCTTAGTTGGCATGGGCTCCACTTTCAACTCAAATCTCATACTGAAACTCAAATTGAGTCTCCTTTCTGCCGGAGATATAAATATGAGTTTTAAGTCTCCGGTGCATTGGAGAACCGTATTTAGACTCAAATATAAGATTTGAGTCCAAAATTTTTTGGTGCATCGGAGATGCTTATTGTGCTCGAAAAATTGAATTGAACGATCAAGATTGAATCGAGAAATAAACGAGACATAAACGATCAAGATTGAACTGAGGAAATACTATTTTTATTTACTTTCCAATCTAATGGACCTAAAATCGATTACCTAGTAATTTGAATTATTGAAGACTTACCTATATCGGACTACCCATCAATTCAAACTAATGAAGATTTACCCATAAAATAAGAAATATTAATCTTGTCGTCCTTGGAGTACACGTAAAAATTTCTAGGGTAGTGCTATCACGCACCCATTTTTACTTCTCACATAACACTCTCAATTTTCGGACGTTGCATTGAATGAGTTGAAGAAGAACAATGGCAAAAAATTAACAAGAGTGTGTAAGAAGTAAAAAATGGGTGTGTGAAAAATATTTTCCAGTTTCTAATGATTTAGCTCTTTGATTTGAACCATGAGATAAGCATGTGGTCTTCATCAAGGTAATGGAGTGGCGCGTGAGGATCGTGTAAAAGATTGAAAACGAAGAAACGAGAGTATCAAATGATTGAGAAAAGTGTGTGTCTGGTTAAGACAACGATTTTTTATATTGACAAATCTTTCCAAGCGACCACCCACAAATTTGAAGGGAAGTGACTATAAATTCTTGACCATCATGTCACCAAGCAATTGAAATTCGTTATTTTAAATGGAATTGCACAGATAATTCATGTGATTGTCGAGAGATGTCTCAAAATAATCCGAAAGATTTAAGAATACTCATGTGGTGGAATTAATTGTCGGTTTTATGAAAAAACAATTGTTCGTTTTAGTTTTAACTTAATTGTAATATTGTCACTGCGTCTAAAATTTAGCTTATTTACAATACTATCATCGCCTTTTGTCCTTGTAATCAAACAAAATTCATTAAGTGTTTTTAGATAGATAAAAAAAAAATTGAGATCTTTTTCATTAGCTTTTCTTTATGTAAAAGATATTAAAAAAAAAAAGAGAAAATGAAAAAGGAAAAGAGTTATTCAAACCTTATGCATCTTTGTCTATAACTCCTTACACTATAAATAAGAATTAGGACCAAAGTCATCCTTCTGCAAATTGATGCTTAAGACAAGAATGAATGAGGCTTTCCTACTGTAATACTTTAATATAATTCCATTTAGCAAACAAGTGAAATTAGAAACTTTTTGACCCAATATACCGATCATCTTCACGTTAATACAAATTTGAGAGTATAGTTTTTTTTTCTTTTTTAACTGATATATTCAATCCCCTATATCTTCACATTATGTAGTCTCCTAGTATCAACCCCCGTACATTTTTACATGTCCTCTCCTAGTATTTGACCCGGTTTGAAATAGTATTTTATTCTTTTGCTATTAACAAACATGTGAAATTAAAATTGAAGATCTCTACCAAAACTGAAAAGATAAGTGTTATGACCAAGTCCAACCCGTGAACCCAAATTCAAATATTTGGATCCACTAAAAGACAGAATTTAGCTCTGTAAACAGTGAACGTCACCCAACCCTCCAGACCTAAGTTTTAGAACTTAAAATGTATTAATTATTTTAGAGAAACTTTGAGTTATGTTTTCTTAATTTAGTTTTACGAATGTTTTAACCTAAAAAAAATTAAATTCCGACAAGATTTCCAAAATGGAACAAACTACACCAACCAACCACCAACCGACCAAACTTCAATACACTACCAAATATGCATATTATTTTGATCGTTGAATTTAAATTTCAGTGTTGGATCATTTTTACCATTGGATTTGACAAAAACAAATATAGATTTTTCAATCAATTTTAAAGGATTGCCCAAAAAAGGGAGTTTGATTTGGACCATTGATAACCAATGGTCCAAAAATCGAAAGGCCAAATTTACTGTTGGACAACTGAGTTCCCTGCCATGTGGGGGCTAGTTGTCGGTCATATCAGCCAAATTTGAACTCAAATTTTGATTTTGATTTAGGTCCAAACCCTTTTTTTTTTTTTGGTATGAGTCTTGTCTTTAGGTGGCAAATTTTTGTGTTTAAACCCAAATATTTGAGTTTGGGTCCAAGGGCTAGAGTTGGTCTAATAGATCAAAAACTAATTCTTTGGAAATAGATATGTGGGACTATAATTTTCACCTCTCTAGAACACAACATGTCCACATCTTAGCCCTAATACAATGACGTCAAAGGAGAGGGGAAAATGAGAAGGAAATTCCGGAGGGTAAAGAGAAGGAAAAGGAGAAGGGAAATGTAGAAAAGGAAGGGGTGGGAATGAGAGAAAATTCCGGAGAATAGAGAAAAGAAGGGGAAAAAAGAGAGGAAATTTCGGAGAATAGAGAAAAAAGAGAAGGGAAAAGAAGAAAAGAAAAGAAGAAGAAAAAAAAAGGAGAGGGAAGCTTCGAAGAGTAGAGGAAAAGAGGGAAAAAGAAAAGAAAAAGCAAAGTCTCCTCCATCATTATGTACTGTTACCCATTTTCTTACAAATGGGAGTGAGAGACTGAAAAAGAAAGAAAAAAAAAGAAACACATGACCAAACATCTAAAAAATATACAAATACGCCAAAGAAGAAATTGCTCCCAGTTTCCCTTGTTTCTTACGTTCTAAATTATATTTCGTGTAAAGAGAAACCAATATTGCTACTCTGAAGACGTTGGCACAACTTGCCGAATCTCATAAATATTGTGTTTTATATACATTTCTCGCCACTTTATATATTTTGTATATATGTGCAACATATGTTCCAACAAGATTCTTAACGTGTAGCTCAAACATTAACAAAAAAAAATGTTTACAAAATCTACTTGTGCGCAATGTGATTTGGTTGACGACAACAAGTCTATCAAGTGTTCGACGAAATGCCTCAGTGAGCAAATTGATTTTTTTTTTTTTTTTTTTTTTTTTTGCATGTTTCGCTCTCTATTGTTATCTAAAAATTTGAACCTAACACTGGGACCCTAAGATTTGAATTCTGGACTAGCCACTGCTGCAAGTGCTCTCTTTTGGTCCAGCCTATAACTATAGAAAAATCATATAACAGCACAACAATTCGATCAACCACCTTAAGTTCAACCATACATGAACCCGATTCAAGTTATTCCAAACATACCTTATGAAAGTAACTAAACATTACTGCCACATTATTATGCGGTTCTATTAAGTTCTAATTTTTATCTCATAACCATATCATCTTTAGAACAATTGATAACACTAGTTGGTGGATTGACGATTCGTAGAAATGGCTTCAACATTTCAACGACGAGAAATGAGTACGGAGCACCGATCAAAACGTGCTGTGTTCTATCACAAAAAATCTGAATGCAATTAGAAATGCATTTTATCACAAAAAGATGAGCAACCATCAATATAAATTGTAATTTATAAAATCACATATAAAACAAGAAGTACTCTTCCTTTGTTCTTGGCATCTCTGCCACTAGTGGCCGACCAAGACTAAAAGAAATGCTTTTTGGGTCAATGCAGGTGAACGACCCATTTTATAATTGTTGATAAATTTTTCTGGGAGTAGATAGGAATGACCCAATTAAATATTTCCCCTGCACACGGACACTTACAATGCAGCTAGCAAAGAGCTGTTTGTCCATCGATCCACATCAATGGCTCGTGCGAGAGCATCTCCCGGAACCTCCTCTGATTCCAACACTTTTGGGGGTTACCGATACGACGTGTTCTTGAGCTTCAGTATCGAAGAAACTCGCAAGAATTTTATCGACCACCTCTACACAGCCTTGAACAACGCAGGATTTGCCACGTTCAGAGACGATGAACTTGAGAGAGGAGAAGATATAAAGCCAGGACGGCAGAAAGCGATCCAGCAGTCACGAACTTCTGTTGTCGTGTTTTCGAAAGATTACGCGTCATCCAGATGGTGCCTTGATGAGCTTGTTGTGATCCTTGAATGCAAGAGGACCACCTCGGACCATGTAGTTGTACCAGTCTTCTACGATGTCGATCCGTCCGACGTGAGGAAGCAGACGGGAAGTGTTGGAAAAGCATTTGCTAGAAGCCAGAAAAATCAGTCGCTGGAAAAGGTGGAGGGATGGAGGAAGGCACTTGCAGAGATTGCAGATCTAGCAGGCAGGGTCTTACAAAATCAAGCTGATGGGTAACTTTCATTATCTCCATTTCTCTTCTCTTTCTTGAGTCAATTTGATGTATGATCCGTAGTGACCTAGATTTTTATATATTTATTAATTCAATCTCAGTAGTGAATAATTTAGGTCAACTTAAAGAAATCACACTTGAATCAACTTAAGGATTAGTCATTTTCCATGTTAGTCTATTCAGTTGCAGTTGCTTAAATTTTTTCGAAAGTAGTATGGAAAAAAATTAGGATGTGATATTTGTCCATAGTTCGTATAAGTTATACGCTGTATTCCTTTTGTTTTTTCAATTTAATTTTGTCAGCAGTCCTCTTTTTTTCTTATTTAAACAAAGGCCATCAACATATGTTTTAATTATCTAATATTCCCAATTCATATTTCATTTTGTTTGCAAATTATTAGGTACGAATCAAAGTTTATCAAGAACATTGTTAAAGTGATTGGAGACAAGTTAAGTCGCATACTATTGAGTGTTGAACCAAAATTCATTGGAATCCAATTTCAAGTCGAACGCATCAATTTTTGGTTACAAGATGGATCAAGTGATGTTGGTATACTTCTTGTGTATGGCATGTCTAGAGTAGGGAAGACAACCATTGCAAAACATGTTTACAATTCAAATTTTAGAAGCTTTGAAGGAAGTAGTTTCATTGAAAATATCCAAGAAAGAGCAGATCGACCAAATGGCTTAGTTCAAATACAAATGCAACTTCTTTCTGATATTTTGATCGGTAGAAAAGTGAAAATACAAACTGTTAGTGAGGGAATAATTAAGATTGAAAGTGCCATAAGCTCTAGAAAAGTTCTACTTGTCCTTGATGATGTGGACCATATGGACCAATTAGATGCAGTACTAAAAATGAAAGATCGGTTTTATCCCGGAAGTAAGATACTTATAACAACTAGGCGTGAAAGGTTGCTAAAGGCAGATCAAGTTACACAGGTGCACAAAGTTCATACTTTGGATTACAATGAATCATTACAGCTTTTCAGTTGGCATGCTTTTGGCCAGGATCACCCCCTTAGAGGTTACATGGAATATTCAGAAAAGGTTGTACACTACTGCAACGGACTTCCATTAGCTCTAAAAGTTTTGGGTTCTTCTTTATCAAGGAGAAGTATAGGTGTATGGGAAAATGCATTGGAGAAGCTAATAGTTATTCCTAATGGTGAAAACATGAATAAACTAAGAATAAGCTATGACAGTTTAGATAAGCATGACCAGGAATATTCCTCCACATTGCTTGTTTCCTAATAGGAAGGGACAAAAACTACATTGTTAGAATACTCGATGGATGTGATTTCTTTACAATTGTTGGCATTGAAAATCTCATTGATAGATGCTTGGTGACAATTGGAGGATGCAACGAGGTGAACATGCATGACATGATTCGTGACATGGGAAGAGAAATTGTCCGCCTGGAATCAGAAGAGCCTGAGAAACGTAGTAGATTATGGCGCCATAATGATTCTTTCAAAGTATTGAGGGAAAAGAATGTAAGAAACATGCCTTTAATGTCTATATATGTATTTCTTCTTGTGAAAATTATACATACTAACGTTTCCGTTTTTTTCCTTTAGGGTACAAAAATAATCCATGGTCTTGTCTTGGATATGCGTATGCATCCTGCACACAGTCCAATAAACACAAATGAGACAATCTTGGAAACCAATGCATTTGAAAAGATGCGCAACTTACAGCTACTCCATCTTAGTCATGTATGACTGGATGGATGTTATGCAGATTTCCCTACAGGATTAAGATGGTTGTGTTGGTTTCAATTTCTATTGGATTCTATACCAATTGATTTTCCTTTGGGGTGTCTAGTTGTTCTTGAAATGCAATACAGTAGTTTGAGACAAGTCTGGAAGGAACAAAAGTATGTTTACGCATTTTCAATTCAGTTTTTAATTTTTTGACCAATTGCATATGTTAAACTTAACTCTCCCACATTTTTTTCTTTCTCTGTTTTTATTTTATACAGTTTCTTCCATCGTTGAAGATCCTTGACGTCAGCCATTCCTATGCTCTCACTGAAATAATGGACTTCTCACTTTGCCCCAATCTAGAAGAACTGATTCTTGTAGATTGCACAAGCCTGATTGATGTTCATGAATCCATTGGAAACTTGGAGAGACTTGTGTCCTTTAATATGAAGGATTGCAAGAATCTTAGGATGCTTCCAAAGAACATGTGTTTGCTTGAATCACTTGAAAAACTCATTTTATCTGGTTGCTCAAATCTTAAAGAGTTTCCTGTGGAGATTGTAAAGAAGATGGGGTCTTTGAAAGTTCTTGACACAGGTGGAACTCCATTAAGTGAATTATGGCCACAAAGAAGAGCACGGTCAATACGTGAACTGGCTGCACATACTTGAATCTCATGTTGCAAAACCGAAAACAGAGAGTGACAGAATCCAGTAGCGCAGGGGTTTAGTTATTCACAGTTCCAACAATGAACGTAAACGGGACTAAGGCTGCACTAAACGAAGAATAAAAGAGCGCTAAGTCGTGAAACATATATACGGTTTATTGTTTGTTTAGTGTATACATAGCAGACCTAACGAAAGTTAATAACTAACCCTATTTGTGCATATTTATCTTTTAGAGTCTCAGATCTTGCACTCTCTCTCTCTCTCTCTCTCTCTCTCTCTCTCTCTACAATTACGCTGTAAATATAAAAGGGAAGCAACTCCCACGCCTTTGACTTCCACTCTCGCTCTCTCCCTTTCTCTCTCTAAGTCGTCGCCTCCCTCTCCTTCTCTCTAAATGCTGTGAGAAATAATAGAGAGAAAGTGTGGAAATGGAGAATTTCTTGAAGAACTTCGAGGTGGAGAACAAGAATCCGTCGGAGGAGGCTATAAGGAGATGGAGAAACGCCGTCGCGCTCGTCAAAAACCCTCGCAGAAGGTTCCGATTCGTCGCCGATCTCGCCAAGCGATATGAGGCCGAGAAGAAGAAGCGTCAAATCCAGGTCTCTCCCTCTGTAAGCAGTTTTTTACTCTTCTCTTTTACGAAACGAAAAATTGAAAACGAAGCGTTTTGAAGATCTGTTTGGTCGCCTGGTTGTTTGGTTGCCGAGAAAATATGGTCGGAAAACAAAAGAAACTGAAACGATTTTCAGCATTTTGCTTTTGCCTGATATTCTTATTCCTGTTTGATTTGCTAATTTTGACCCATCGTTAGTCTTAAACACGTAGTTTCTGAATTAAATCGTCGTGGTGAACCGAACGGCTGAGATTTAGGATAGCATTTGGAGGACTCGCAGTTTCTTAATTTCTTTGATTTTCTCGGCTCCCTAACAGGTTGGGGAGCTATGGATTTCTTTGGGCCTTGTTGGCATCACATGCTTGAACAAATTTGTAACAGTAGAAAGCTCCGGCTAACAATGCGCTAAGCATAGGTGGTCCCACATGCATTAGTCCATGAGTACAGCCAAAACAAATTTAATTTGAATCTCCTGTGTCAAGAACTCGTGAGTTCTTTTCCATGCACTTTAGTACGTGTTAGTCATTGATCAAATGGAACTACATGTTAGTCATTTTTGCTTCATATTTCCTTCATATTTAGGCATTGATCAAATGGAACTACATGTTAGTCATTTTTTCTTTCGGGGTTTTACAATTTTCTTCAGGTTATAACTTTTGATGTAACCAACTTGCGATGTTTCTGTCAAACTATGTGGAGATAATGTAATTTTTGACATGTTTTATTAATTAACAACATGGGATTGAATTACGGGAGATTATATTCACACACCAAATTACTTTTCCCACACCCTTTTATTATTTTTAATATTTTTCTATCAAGTGCTAGTGTTGTGTTCAAAAAATATTAAAAAATTAAAAGGGTGTGGGGAAGGAGTGTGTGAATATAATCTCTCTTGAATTAATCCCACCAAAATGGGTAAACTACATGGTATGACTGAGAAATCAAAGTGAACTCCGTTTAAATTTGGGGGACAAAAATGTAGTTTAGCCTTTTCGTTTGCGGAATTGTTGGTGGATCGCTTAATTTTTAATTGAACTCATTCATTGCTAATTTATTATGCAGACAAATTCAGCAGAGTGGATCTTTTTAGCCACTAGCCTTTGCATGGAGATTTTATCAGCTGCTTGTGATCAGGCTTCGTCCCCAAGTAAGCCTCGGTATGCGCTGTTCGGTATGCTCTTGGCTTTTGCATCTCTGCTCACTTGCATATGGGAGCTGATTTACAAGGGCATGAAAAAAAATGTGGTATGGGGGAACAGGGGATGTCACATGCTTTTTGGTTCTGATATTGAACTTTTTGCGTTAGTCGGAGGCATCGCTCAGTGTGTTTGCTCGATAATTCAATACATTTATTACGTCCGGCATGCTGATAATCCTATCAAAATGTCCCTTTTGCCTGCCATCTTTGTCATATGTTTGATAGCTACGAGATTAAGCAGGGAACGGATGCAAACCACATATGAGACCGGTGAACATACAGCTTAGACAAAGAGTGATTGGTAAGATGTGCTCGTTTGTTTGTAGCCTAATCATGTTTCATAAAAGCATACGGAGAATTATGCTGTCAGTATGAATGAAGATTCTCTATAAACATTTGTGTAATTTGTTAACAACTTAGCCGAGGTTCGTCCTCCAGACACAGGACCAGGCAAGAGTTTCAGAAACTTCAGGTTAGACGTAGCTCAAATCTTGCAATCAATCGATGCTGGTTTCCATTCTCCACTGTAACTTGCTTCTTGTAAAGTGGTTCAAGTCTGCATAGCTGGGTTAATATCCCCATTTGGTTTGTATTCCCAAACACGAGAGTTGCCCTTCATGTCAGATGTCATCGTTGTTGGTGTTATATTTTCAGTTGTGGGTTTGTGTATATTCTGTATAGAAAACCCACATATGGCAATTTGAGTCGATGATTGGTTCCAGTTCGCATGTGGGCCGATCCCCAGTAGACAATCCTCTATACAAGTACCTTCAAAGAGAGAAACCCCCAAATTGTAAAATGTCCTAAACAACAGCATATACCAAAGATGGGGAAAAGAAAGGCCGGAGAACTTTTCTTATAGGAAAAGGAAGAATAATAAAGATAACTAAGGAGAAAAACATCAAGAAGTCGAAATCACAAACTTAGAACAAAAACTATGCATACCTAATATTTTCTAAAACTTTGGGGTAGAATACTTGCTTATATGACACTGCACCAAAACCGTACATATAACAAACTTCATGAGAATGTCATTGTACTCGGGATCCAAAGAAGAAAACATTGCATCCACATCTTTTATAGCCACAATAGCTCTATGCACCATTATCCAATTTGCAGACTGCAAAACTCAAAAAAATAAATCTCACCACTTTCTTTCATTCCACACCAAACAGACCAATTGAATTATAATTAAACACAGGGTGACAATTCTGATTGGTACCCAAGAAAACCACTGGAAAAACGATAAGAAAAGAAGAGTAAAGTTCTAAACTGCAATTTAATTTTCTATTCCATCGACTGACAAACCTTGCAGCGCTCGTCTTTGGTGTTGAGAGGCGAGCCTTCGAGAGCAGTTTTTAGAGCTTCGACTGTCTTGTACCTAGATGAAAAACGGATCAAACAGTCAAGGTTTTTGGATAATTTTCAAATCATTAAGGGGCTGTCCACAAAATTGTATGTAAAAAAGGGGAAAGGATTTGGAGTGATACTGTTTGATAAGCTCTCGATCTTTCGAGATTTTTGTTCGATTCTGCTCTCTCTCTCTCTCTCTCTCTCTCTCTGATTTTCTCACCTGGCATTTGGAAAAGACTTGAGGAAACATGTTCCCGAGAAAGTGACACGGCAGGTGGACCAAACTGTATATTGGGCTGGATCCTAGGTCGGCCCAAATATGGCCTTGAATTCAGACCATTTGATTGTCTAAATTTTTGTTAAATTAGTAAATAGTGTGAAAAATCTATTTAGTTACTCAGTTTAAATTTTTTATCTTCAACAACGCCTTTATCTTGTCAAACTTTAAATATTTCATTATTAACAATTCAAACCCAACCAACTCATTTTCCAAAACATAACACTGTTTTTGAAAAAAAAAAAAAATCAGATACAGTGTTGGTTTTGTCCATGCACAAACAAACATTGTTTCTGGAAAGAAAAGAACAAAAATCCAAATGCAGTGACTTAAATTCCAAAAACAGTGACTTGGATTTCATAAACAATGAAAGAAAAGAAACGGTCAAATGTTAAAACATAGACGGTTTCTTTTCTTTCATTCATCAGTTGATTATATTTAAGAAATAGAGTGCTTATTTTTCTTTGAATCCAAATACAGTGAATTTCATTATTTCTTTTCTAGCTTACATGTAAGAAACAGTGTGTCTATTTCATTTGGATCCAGAAACAGTGACTTAGATTCCAGAAACTGTAACTTAAATTCCAGAAACAATGACTTAAATTCCAAAAATAATGTTACTTAAAATCCAAAAAACAATTTATTTTTACAGTCCAAAAATAGTTAGGGGTGGAAAAAATTCCCGAAAATCCCGAACCGAACCGAAAAAATCCCGATCCCAAACCAAAAATTTCCCAAACCGAAATTCCCGAAATTTTCGGGATGCTATCCCGAACCAATCCCAAAATTTCGGTATGGAATTCGGGATTGGCTTCTCGATATTTCGGGAATCCCATACCAAACCGAAAATATATAATATTAATTATTATATATATTTATACATATATATATTATTCTTTTATAATTGATGCTAGTAGTTTCTAATTCATACTCAGCAACCTAGAATGCCCTACACCTTGCATATTTTTCATGTTCTGTTTGATATTCATGTGGATTTTATTATTACTGCTGCCATGGCTGATGATTTCAGAAGGCTTGATTCTTTTGTCTCTCAACAGATTGCAAAAAGAGTTTAATTAATTTGAATTTTGACTATGATAAAAAGAGTCAAGCATGCCAGTGTTCAATTAAATGGTAGTGTGAATGAAATGAAATTCCTAGTTTATAAATGTGTTCTTGAATTATATATTTGAAGAACAATTCATAATTTCATATTTCAATTTGGGATTCCCGATTTGTCCCAAAATCCCGAAAATATTTCGAGATTCCTGAAATTTGGGATTCCCGAAAATTTGGTTTGGGATTGGTCTTCAAATTCCCGTCCCGAAAAATTTCGGTTTGGGATTCGGGATACTAGTTTCGGTATGGTATATCATACCGAACCACCCCTAGAAATAGTGACCCCGTCATTATTATTGAATAGCATGCACATCTCAAATTTATTTTCTAGAGAAACAAACGATGATCTCCACTGACGAAGAAAAATTGAAAAACAGTACCTCGAATACACTATGAATAATAACGACGATTACATTTCAACAAAATAATACAAAATATAAATTAAATAGCATGAGGATCTATATTTTTATTTCAAAGAAAAAGAAGAAGTTCTGCAAAACAATGATGAATTCCATTAATGATGATAATCTGGAACTCAATCTAAAAAAGTTTGGGGTAAAATCGACAAATCATAATTTATTATAGTTGGGCTATTTTTAGTTGGGTTACTTTAATATGGGTCTTGTACTAATCATTAAATAAAACTTATAACATGGTTTTTTTTTATTAAAACTAAAACTTTTCAAGTCCTTTTTATCAGTTTTCCTATAAAAATATCCATAAAAAATTAAAAATATTTTATTTTTTGTTTTGTCAAAAAAAAAAAAAAAAACCTTTATCAATAGGAACATTTTTATACATTAAAAATATCCAATAAATAGTCAGTAAAACACATATGCTTTGATCAATGTTGTTCCTCTCACGCTTTAAAAAACAAAAAAAAAAAAAGCAACCAATGAAACTAAGTAACAATTCAATTTAATGTTAAATGATTTTGGTTCGCATATACATGCAAAAATTTCAATTTCATTAGGTAGTGATTTGTTTCTGTCTATTAATTATTTTTAGATTTATTCAACCGTACGACTCGATGTAACGGAATGAACATTGGAGGAAAAGCATAATGTGAAAAATCGCTTATCTTTCATTGTCCTGTACAAGAAAAAAAAAAAAAAAAGCGCTTAAAAAGCATAAGAGAAAAATTCTTCCGAGATGTGTATGATCAAATTTGTATGCCCATGACTCAAGTAGTTTGCATTGCTATTTGCTTAGGTGCTCAATGAGCTTTGTGTTGCACCAAATTGCTTTTATTTCAATCAAGACGGTGTCGTTTACATTGTTCCACCAAATTGCTTTTGTTTTGTTCTTTGATCAAATGACCTCCAAGCCCCTACACATAAGATCACCACTCCACAAAATCCGGTAAATCAGAACAAAATAGAAGGTCAATATCGTCATTCTAGCCAAACGGTCATAATTATCGACACCCTACTTCTTAAATTCCTTTCCCCTCTCCTCACACAAAATTATCGACATCCTTGCTTTCATAGTCTTCCTTTGCTTCACACAAAATCCAAAACCTCCGCAGAAGCTCAACTGCTCATCAATGGCGGACTCCATCCCCTGCAGAAAGCCCCACTTCCCATTCTCCGATCCAAATCCAGAAGCTCACCGAAACCCGATTCGACACGGTAAGTCCTACACTATGCACTTTCTCCTTAAAGCTCTAATCTTTGCCGTTTTCATCGTCGTTCTTCCACTTTTCCCCTCACAAGCTCCCGAATTTATCAACCATACGATCCTCACCAAGTTCTGGGAGCTCATTCACGTTATCTTCGTCGGCATTGCCGTGTCCTACGGCTTGTTCAGCAGAAGAAATACTGCTGAAATGGGGTTTGAGAATAGCTCAAATGTGGGTACTTCTGAGTCTTATATGCCTACAATATTCCCCATTTCGTCGAATTTCGACGGCGGGTGTGAATACCCATGTGGGTATGGTGAGAAAAGAGAGGGTGAGAGTTGGAATTCTGGGTATTTTGTGGGTAACCCTGTTGCTGCTGTGGCTCAATCTTGTCATGAAAGCAATGTTTTTTATGCCCAATGCAAACCCAGTTTGGGGATTTGTGAAAGTGGGGCTGAAAATTCATGTGGGTATAAAGAGAAAAATGTTACTCAAGCTTGGAATTCTCAGTATTTTCAGGGTGAATCAATGGTGTTTGTAGCTCAACCAAATTATGGTCTTGATGAATGGGGAAACCCCAGATCAATGGTTGATAATCAGCCTTTAGGATTGCCGGTTCGGAGTTCGAAATCGAGGGTGAAAAACCGGGATAGTTTTGAGTTTGTTGCTAGGAGTGAGTTCAGTTTGGGTTCTAAGGGCTCTTTTAATAGCTCTGATGGGGTTAGGAATGAGGATTTTGGTGATTTGGGTGCTATAAATTTAGAACAGAAGTTCAACGAAGCTGCTGCATCACCATCCCCGGTTCATTGGCGTTGGCGTTCTGCAAGGATGGAAAGGGGGAAAAGAGTAGGTAGTAATGCTCGTCCTACGCGTTTGAGGCTACTCTCAGTTGATGAAACTCAGTTTGAATCAATGAAAACTCGGTCTTTCCAGCCCACATTGTCCTTTACTTCCGAGTCTTAATGACATGTGGGTCATGTGATGATTATCAACATTTAGAGATGGATGATTTAATTTATCTAATATGTTTTACGAGTTGGTTATTACGGATTAGAGACTTAGTTAACCTCCCTATATTTGATTAATTAAGTAGCATTGCATTTACTTTGGACAAACAAAATAAATAAAAAGAAACAAATCCCATGAAATACAAAGACAAAACCAAACCACAAATGGATCATAGTGGAATTCACAAGTGTATGGATGACCAGCCCAATCTGCATCAGAGTAGCCACGTAGAAACAAGTGGACCATAGTGAGGCCGAAACTAAGACCAAGTCTAACGAACCCTTATAACATAATGAAGAACACATTTGGCAGCAACCAAATGAGTCATAGTGGGACGAGCCATAAACTAAGCAATATGATTGACCGCAAAGGCAATACTAGGATGAGTTAAAGTGAGATATGTAAGTGACCTGAGAAGGTGACAAAACTCAGTGGGATCAGAAAGAGGGGTACCAACCTGATTAGGAATCTGTGACAATGTAAAATGGCGTTTCATGAATTTACGTTGCAGGGCATATTGTCTTAATGATTTGATTATGATCAAATTGATTGCAATATATTTATGTTGAATCATACATTCTATTTATTGAAATAATAATTGTCATTATCATTATAGTTTGCTATCTGCCGTTGCATATGGTGGTTTATCACAAGCATCGCCTTGCAGAGCATCATAACCTGGGATAGAAGCACTTTGCTTTTCTCTACTCTCTTCCAGTAATTAGGTATACAAGTAGTTTTATATCTTCAGTTAAATTTGAAGCCATTGTCAACCTTTCGGTATAAAATTGCAGAGTTTGCTTTATCAATTATCAATTTCAACTTTTTTCCTTTCAATTTTGGGTCAAATGTTTGTTCAGTCAAATAGGAAAACATCACCAAAAACAAGCAGAAACCAACCAAATATTCTACGTAGTGAACATTCTCCGTGGCACCAAATGACAGGTTACAGGTACTTAATTTTAATTATGTGGGTTCTTAATTGGTTAATCATTTAACTGAGAATGTTGTACTCTACTACATCAATGTAACAATTATTTTGGTCCCTGCTAATTGTCTTTCTAAGATTTAGTTTAATAGTTTGATCTATTTATCCCCTTTCACCTATTTACAGAATATCCAATGAAATTTATTTGAAGCTGCAACATCTCTTATCACATAACACAACGGCGTCATCTCCACGCTTGCAGCAAAGACGGTACCAGAAAAATCAAAGCAGGTCCCATAAGAAAAAACTGTGAAAAAGACTACAAGTGATGCATTTTCCACTGGAAATGAGCATCAACAAAGTAATGCAGTATTATTGTTGTGGCGGTATTGAATTGACAAAGCAGTTTGCAGGTAGAATGGGAATTGCAAGATAAATGTCAAGAACAAAACCACAAACATTATATACTCATCTTTAGCAACTTTTAATAAGATAAACTAGTAATATGATAGAAGCGAGTTGCATTTTGTAGTACTGTACGGAAAAATGATATGTATGAATTCTTACTCTTCAACTCAATGTCATTGTTTATTTTGTTATCTTACACTATTATTTGGTTCATTGATGTATTTCTTCATTTATTGTTTACTAACCTCTTCGAATGATGTTTTCGAGCGTGCAAGGACCCTTTCTTTTAGGGGTGTGCTATCTACACACTTCAAATTACTTCTCACACACCTCTTGTTAATTTATGTTCGTTGATCTTCTTTAATTCATCCGATCCGACGACCGAAAATTAGAAACGTATGTAAAAAGTAAAATTGAATGTGTAGTTATCACACATTTTCTTTTATCACGCATTTTATACAGAACTTAATTATGTTTTATTTCCTTTTCATTTGCAACTATAGGTGCAATTTTATTTTTACGACTCTGCCAGCCATGACTTAAAAGAAAAGCTTTTTGGGTCAATGCATGGGAACACGACCCATTTTATAATTGTTTGTGAATCTTGCTGGAAGTAGATAGGAAGGACCCCATACAACCTTTTGTTTTAATCTCTGCCACTAGCGGTCGGCCATGATTTAAAGAAAGACTTTGGGTCAAGCATGGGAACAACCCTTTTTAAAAAGCATGGGAACAACCCTTTTTATAATTGTTTGTAAATTTTCCAGTAGATAGGAATAACCCAATTAAATATCCCCTGCAAAGAGACATTTGCATTGCATCTAGCAAAGACCAGTTTTTTTGGTTTGAACATCAATCCACATCAATGGCTCTCGTGACAACATCTCAAGGAACCTCCTCTGATTCCAAAAAATTTCGGTGTTACCGATACGACGTGTTCTTGAGCTTCAGAGGCGAAGACACTCGCAAGACTTTTACCGACCACCTCTACACAGCCTTGAACAACGCAGGATTTCTCACGTTCCGAGATGACGATGAACTTGAGAGAGGAGAAGATATAAAGCCAGGACTGCTGAAAGCGATCCAGCTGTCACGAACTTCTGTTGTCGTGTTTTCGAAAGATTACGCGTCATCCAGGTGGTGTCTTGATGAGCTTGTGCTGATCCTTGAACGGAAGAAGACCACCTCGGACCATGTAGTTTTACCAGTCTTCTACGATGTTGATCCGTCCCACGTGAGGAAGCAGACAGGAAGTGTTGGAAAAGCATTTGCTAGAAGCCAGAAAAATCAGTCGCCGGAAAAGGTGGAGGGATGGAGGAAGGCACTTGCAGAGATTGCAGACCTAGCAGGCATGGTCTTACAAAATCAAGCTGATGGGTAACTTTCATTTTCTCCATTTCTCTTCTCTTTCTTCAGTTAATTTGATACTATGATCCGTAAGGACCTTGATTTTTATAAGTTTTTATTCAACCTCAGTAGTGAATAATTATCCCAATTTAGGTCAACTTAAAGAAATCACACTTGGATAAACTTAAGGATTAGTCATTTTCCATGTTAGTCTACTGGTTTCCTGTTGCTTAAAATGTTTCAAAAGCAGGTGTGGAAAAAAGTTGGTATGTACTTTCTGTGCTGTATTCCTTTTAATTCTTTTTTAAGTAAAGGCCATCAACATTTGTTTGATTTATTAATTATCTAAATTCCCCAATTCATTATTCATTCATCCAATACATCTGTGAGACATAACATGTTTGATTTATTTTTCATTTTGTTTGTAAATTCTTAGGTATGAGTCAAATTTTATTGAAAAAATTGTTAAAGTGATTGGAGGCAACTTAAGTCGCACACCATTGAGCGTTGTGCCAAAATTGATTGGAGTCGAATCTCAAGTCAAAGACATCAATTTGTGGTTACAAGATGGATCAACCGATGTCGGTATACTGGTTGTGTATGGCATGTCTGGAATAGGGAAGACAACCATTGCAAAACATGTTTACAATTCAAACTTTAGAAGCTTTGAAGGAAGTAGTTTCATTGAAAATATCAGCAAAACAGCAAATCGACCAAATGGCTTAGTTCAAATACAAAAGCAACTTCTTTATGATATTTTGAACGACAGAGAAGTGAAAATACATGGTGTTAGTGAGGGACTAAGAAAGATTGAAAGAGCCATAAGCTCTAGAAGAGTGCTTCTTGTTCTTGATGATGTGGACCATATGGACCAATTAGATGCAGTACTAGAGATGAAAGATCGGTTTTATCCAGGAAGTAAGATACTTATAACAACTAGGCGTGAAAGGTTGCTAAAGGCACATCAAGTTACAAAGGTGCACAAAGTTGGAACTTTGTATTACTATGAGTCTTTAGAGCTTTTCAGTTGGCATGCTTTTCGCCAGGATCATCCCCTTAGAGGTTACATGGAATATTCAGAAAAGGTTGTACACTACTGCGACGGACTTCCACTAGCTCTAAAAGTTTTGGGGTCTTCTTTATCAGGGGAAAGTATAGATGTATGGGAAAGTGCATTGGAGAAGCTAAAAGTTATCCCTAATGGTGAAATCATGAATAAACTAAGAATAAGCTATGACAATTTACAAGATGACCATGACCGGGAATTATTCCTCCACATTGCTTGTTTCCTAATAGGAAGGAACAAAAGCCACATTGTTAGAATACTCGATGGATGTGATTTCTATACAATTGTTGGCATTCAAAATCTCATCGATAGATGCTTGGTGACAGTTGATGGATGCAACAATGTGAAAATGCATGACATGATCCGTGACATGGGAAGAGAAATTGTTTGCCACGAATCAAAAGAGTCTGGAAAACGTAGTAGATTATGGCGCCATAAGGATTCTTTCGAAGTACTGAGGGAAAAGAATGTAAGAAACATGCCTTTTATGTCTATGTATGTATTTCTCCTTGTGAAAATTATCCATATAAATGTTTTAACTTTTTTTTTTTTTTTTCTGTTAGGGTACAACAACAATTCAAGGTCTTGCCCTGGATATGCATATGCATCTTGCAAATAGACCAATAAACACAAATGAGACCGTCTTGGAAACCAATGCATTTGAAAGGATGCGTAATTTACAACTACTCCATCTTAGTCATGTACGACTGGATGGATGTTATGCAAATTTCCCTACAAGATTAAGATGGTTGTGTTGGCTTCAATTTCCATTGGATTCTATACCTGTTGATCTTCCTTTGGATTGTCTAATTGTTCTTGAAATGCAACATAGTAGCTTAAGACAAGTCTGGAAAGGAACAAAAGTATGTTACTCTACGCATTTCAATTCATTTTCCTTATTTTGTTAGTTTTTTATTTGTTGACTAACTCCATGTGTTAAAATGAACTCCTATGTTTTCTTTAATTCGATGACTAATTTCTTATGTTAGATACTTATTTCATTGTTTTTTTTCTATTTCTTTTTTTCTTTGTTTCCACAGTTTCTTCCATCGTTGAAGTTCCTTGACGTCAGCCATTCCCATTCCCTCACTGAAATCATGGACTTCTCACTTTGCCCTAGTCTAGAAGAATTGATTCTTGTAGATTGCACAAGCCTGATTGATGTTCATGAATCCATTGGAAACCTGGAGAGACTTGTGTACTTAAACTTGAAGGATTGCAAGAATCTTATGATGCTTCCGAAGAACATGTGCATGCTTAAATCACTTGAAAAACTCATTTTATCTGGCTGCTCAAATCTTGAAGAGTTTCCAGTGGAGATGATGAAGAAGATGGAGTGTCTGAAAGTTCTTGACATGGATGGAATTCCAATAAGTGAATTGTGGCCAGAAAGAAGTTCAACTATCTTGAGTTCTTTTCCATGCTCTTTAGTAGAGTTAAGTCTCATGGGGTGCAATCTTTCTGATGATGCCTTTCCTACGGATTTAAGTACTCTATCCTCAATACAAAGACTATATCTAGATAGGAATCCAATTTGTAGTCTGCCAGGTTTCATCAAAGGTTTGAGAAGGCTCGATGAACTCTCTTTCGTAGGTTGTGAGAAGCTTGAATCGCTTGTGGGGTTGCCAAAAGTACACGAACTGATTGATATAACGGATTGCATATCATTAAAAAAAATGACATATCTTTCCCCTGAGCTACGGTGTGCGTACGGGGTGGGTGACAATTGGAATCTAGTTGAGTGGGAGTACGAATACAAGTTAGAGCCTATTAATAGAGTTGATGCGGAAATGATCAAACTTTTGGGTTTGTCCAACTTGGAATCCATGCCAGCTGTTCGAATTCATCATCTAGAGACAACCAGGGATCATCCAAAAGAGGTCCCAGTCCAGGTGCGCCTCTCTTTCTCTCTCTCATAAGTCTTAAATATATAAAATGGGAAAGAAATGACTGAGTAATGTTGTGATGACTGTGGCAAATACATAGGGACCATATCAATATGGTATATTCAGCACATTTTTTACTGGGAATGAGGTTCCGGGCCGGTTCAGCTATAAAAGTACCAAGTCCTCGATATCTTTTATTGTCCCTTTACTGCATGCTAGTCACAGAATTCGTGGCTTGAACATCTTTGCTACCTATGCAACAAAGGAGGGGAATCATAATTATCATGCTTCTTATCCTTTAGTGACTAAAGTGAGTAACAAGAGTAAGGGTCAGACGTGGATCTATGAACCAGAAATCTATGGAATTCCAGGTGACGGAGAAGATATGAAATGGTTGAGCCATTGGAGGATGGAGACTGAAACAATATTGCAATGTGGAGATGAGGTGGTGGTTTTGGTAATAGCCAGATTTCCTAACCAGTTTCGGATAAAGGAGTTTGGTGTCGAGTTTGTGCAAGAGCACCAGAATAATACGATGACAAGTACCCAACACAACACCAAATCAGATCCTCATTATCCATGTGTCATCGGGGGAGATTTGTCCATGTGGGAGCATCTACCAGGAATATACTTCCTTGGTTTCTGGAAAGAATACGTTGAAGGCCTTCTTGTCGATGAGCGGGAATGGTTGAATTGCGTCATCATGGACTCTCATGAAGAAGACACAGGTATGTCGTATTGTTGTATTGCAATGAATTATAGTCCATCCAAACACTTCCACGTCCGTCTGTATTCATTTCAAAAACAAAATTTTTATGTTATTTGTATGTTTTTTAGACAAAGAAGAAGGGCAAGAGGATGAACCTGATTTCACAATTGCAAGGATGAGGGCTGCCAGTAACAACTGCAACCTCGGACGTTGGAAGGTGCTTCTCACAGCTGCTGGCTTCTTTTTCACGCTTGTTCTAGTAGTTTGGTCCTGCATCTCCCAGAAAAAGAAGCGACAGTAGTCCACAAGCCCTCCATGAGTTTGCAATTTTACTTGATACAAACATATTTTGCATTCCTTCCTTGTCTTCAAGATATTTTATGCCTTCAAAACTTCGGGTTCACAGCTAAGCGCTCTTAACCGCTTGAGATATAAAACCCCCTACCAATTAGATATTGAAGTTCAAATGTGTTCAAATCATCAAATATTGCATAGCTCAAATGTGTTCAACATCATCAAATACTGAAATACATCCAGCATCAGCAATGCTATTTCGGCACCGTGGAAAGCAAAAACATCCTATCTGCTTATAAATGTCAAATATACAGATCTTAATCGTCATTTACAACAAAATCATGCTTCTTAAAGACTCGACTCCCATTGAAAAATTGTGTGAATAAGTATAACAGATATTAGATTGAATAATATATCAAATAAATAAATAGCAGACAATTTCTTAGCTTGAGATCTAAGGACTATACAGTTGGCTCAGCCTTGCATCGCTACCACACAACGGAGCTGGTTTCCGCTTCTTCAACCTCGAATAATTAGGGTCAGGAAGCATTAGGAGGAACGGCTGTCTCTGAGGCGATTAATCAAATAGTGCAAATCTAGAATAAAAAAGCAATAGAAGTTCAGGATTGATGAGGTTCAAAGCCCACTAAAAGCTGCTGATACAATGCAGTGTCATTGACATCAATAGATTAAAGCTAATGGCGCATGAAGAGTACTGAAACACTCACAGCCCTCGCTCACTGGTTGCATGAGCAATAAAAGGAACAAATTCAGCAAGTCACATCGGGGCCATCCAAAAAGAAAATTGAAGCAAACACCACAAACAACCCAAAATTTGCTCAAACGTCAGCATCCATCCCAAACAACGAATTTGTACCTCATTTGGGAGTTAATATAGCACATGAGAAAATTGTAAATGCCATGGGACATTTAATTCCAATGAATTTATAAATGGGTCCTCATATTAGTATAGAATTACAGTTAAACCACAATTATATGCAATCAGTACCTTCCCTTTGCAGTCTTAATATTAATAGTAAATATCCCTAACTGCTAAGTAATCCACCAAAAGCGGAGGCCTTTGTCAACAGAGTTCCAAATTTCTCTATTCGTTGACATATGAACAACGCGCAAAACCTTACCAGCCCTTGACATATGAACAACAAAACCTGTCCTTAACGGGATGGTACTTACTTTCATACAGGTTTCCGAGGGATTTTGGGATTCCTTTCTTTTGCTTGTATCCTATGGAGATGGATTGATATGGAGGGTTTCCACTTTAACCGGCTAGCCTTGCGAACGATTTCCTTTGGTTGCTATCCCCTGCTCTTGAAGGATTGGATTTGGTAGAGTCATCTGGGTTTAAAAAGCCATTACCAAGGAGCTAATTCATTCAGAACTCAGTTGACTGCTTCTCTAGATAAGGCGGAGCGTCCTTGGCTCAGCATTATAGAACATAGGGCTTCGGCGCTACTACAGCGCTTCGCTAACTTACGCTGTCCCCCCTCAGCTCACCCTAGCCCATTGAGTGCTCTACCTCGGGCCATCGTCGGCAGGGCTTTGAACTATAGCAAATAGCCCATTGGTTGAGCTTTGCTCTATGTTGGCTTAACTGTTCCTATGCATGCTCAAACAGGAAAGCCTAACGAGCAAATAAACTGATAGCCTGATCCACTTGTTGCCCGCCTGCTTTCGCACCTCGCTTACGCGTCCAGTCCAAACACAGTCTTGCTCCTATAGCTCTCCTCTCTGGTTGTGCGTTCAACAACTACAACCAAAAGCGGAGGTCTTTGTCAATAGAGCTAGTTAAGGTACAACCGACTCTCATGAAAAGACGTCTTCCTCGTGTTCCTAGAGTACGCCAATTTCTCTATTTGTTACTAATCATTCTCAAAGGATGGCTGCTTCGAAGCCCACCTCCTGGTTGTCATCGCTCGATCACTTCTTTTCCACTAAGTGATTGCTTAGGGACCTTAGCGTACGATCTGGGCTGTTTCCCTCTCGACTTTGGATCTTAGCACCCCAAAAGTCTGTGAGAACCTGCACATCAATAACTCGTGTTTAAGTTACTAAAAAACCAATCTTGTTATGATGTTAAAAATATGAAGCACAAATGTATCTGAGCATGCACGTGAGACCTTGGGAACTGTGAAATTTTCATTTTTTCAATTTAGATATAAGAGTTAATGTATTACAGTGCCAAATACAGCAACTGCTAATTTCCACATGACCACATCTGCATCTGTCCAACCATTCTGCTTGGGTCTTTTAAATAAGAAGCAACTTGTTCACTAATATTCTGCAATTGGAAAAAGAAAAATGAATTCCTAGTGATATCTGGCAAAGCATGGCACAAGTCAGCCATAGGGAAAGGCATGTTTACAAGTTCAATTATAGAGCCAGACCTGATTAAGAGCATGCGGCTCGCTTTTAATAGCGGCAGCACCATTTGTCTATCAATTTGTTTATGAAAGTAGATATTCTACAAGATACAACGTGACAAGCCTTAGTTAGAACAAGTAACCCGCATGGAAATGCACACACTAATGAAAAGTTGAACATAGTAGAATAAATTCCTAAAATTCATGCAAGAGAAGTTATCGGAGCATGAAAGAATTTATACAGAGCTGCCCAACAGTATACTTAAAGTAAACATATGGCAACATAGATTTTTACAAGTATAATTTACAACTGAATTTCATGGTTCTCTGCCGCCCCTCTAGATAACAAACTAATTTAATTTAGTACCTAATGGAATTTAAAGGTCAGAAAACTATCATCTGGTATATTTCATATTGAACAGTTGAGACAAACTTAATAACATAATAGCCTGATGTATTAACTGATAAGAACTATGTATTGAAATATAACAAAAGTTAGACACTAAGGTGTTGAAATACAGCAATAAAACAAGAATTTTAAACAATAAAACAACAAAAATTCCAAAGTTCTTTTGGCTGCTCCAAATGGATTAGCGAAGTATGGCATGAACAATAATGTTAAACAATATTTCAGTTTTATAGATAGCCCTCAATATAACATGAGCATATCTAGATAGTAGAATATGATTCTTCTTTTCAGAATATCCAAATTATGATCTGAGTACCTTGACAGCAACTAAGAAATCCGTGACCAATCCTCATCACCGTATCATCACTATCAGTGGTCTTAGATGACTGTGACTTCTTAGGTTGTCCAGATTTACCTACAGAATAGGATATGTATTAGGAGAAGCAATACATGAACATACGCAGTATGAAGTTAATGAATATGCAAACAGTACAAACTAGGACAGCCAATTAGACCATGGTAGCCCAAAAGCCAATTTTTTTTGCTTAATCCGGCTAAGGCTTATATGAGATCAAAGCAGGAAAGATTTGTGCTGACATCCTTGGGAAAATTTGAAATCTGGCTTCATCTTGACTATCCTCAGATCAGAAAACAAGACCTAACTGATTTACCTTCTATGCCAACATTATGCTTTTGACAACAACAACAACTACCTACCCTCTAGAGTGGTTATTTAATTGATGTTTCCTTGAAAGCTGTAATCAAAATCACAAAGTGTCTAAGTTTTGTTGATCTACTCTGAACTTCCCACCTAATACGCGTAAACCATCACATATTTGGTTTGGCTTGTTCTCAATCAGAACTAAGCACAAACTTCACTACAATTCAGCAGACCAGCTGGTCCAAGCTTAAGCTTTATGCTTTGTGTTTTGGGATAAGCTTGGGCAAGGCTGAGCTCAATCCATTCCTCTTGATTAAAAATCGTACACTCTTGATAATAGCATAGTACCATCATAATCTGACTAATTATAGTAACTGTTGTAGTGGAACTTCTGAAATTTGAGGAACCCTCACAATCATATGAATAGAGGAAACTTGAAGCATTTCCTTAAAGTTTGATTTGATAAAATCAAACTCTGTCTTAGCTAATTGTATAGTTACAAGCTAAACGCACTTTACGAGAATTTAAACGGATATTAAAAACTTCAAACACGAAATGTAATACACCAAGCATAGCAAACCTTTCACATATTGGCAATTCTTGTCATGCTGAAAATGATAGATTATGCACAACAACGGAGAGCCAAATTATATTACAAAATAAATATAATAGTTTGATGAATGTAGTTTGTACATACTATATGTTGCTTGAAAGATGGAAGAAGGGTTCTTCCCAACGAAAGCCTGTAACAAGAAATATAGCATGATGTGATAAATGTTATAGCATATACAAATGGCAATATCAACAAATCACAATAATGTATAAAGTACTTTTCATATTACCGCAAGGTATGAAGCTAAACTACAGACCAAGTAGTAATAGGTAGGCAACAAATTTTTATGACAATCATACCTCTTGTAGTTCTGCTCAAGAATCCAAAGTTCTCTTTGATGAGTCAACTAGATCAGAATATGCTGCATTGACGCCTTCATGTGAATCACAAAATAAAGACCTAACTGGCTCCTGCAGACAACCTCCCAGGTAAGAACATAACATCTTAACATGTCAAAAAGCTACAAAAAAATGGAAAAGCTAAAGCGACCTGTGGTAATCTATTTCATGGATATTACAAGAGCTATTATTTTGAACAACACACACCTTTTGGTTCTTTACTGCTTGGCCTTTAAGATCTTCGTCCTTATGACGCTTTAGATTCTTTAAAATATCTCTGCATGGGAAGAGGGAATAAACGAAGAACAAAATTAACTTCATGTCAGCCTATATCCATGTAAGATGTATGTTCCTTCCTTTTATCTCGAACTGAAGAATTGCACATGCATATATAACTCCACTTTGTGTTTTCATAATAACTAAATTAAATAGATACTGAAACTTAGCGTCGAGCTAAGATGAAAATGGCACTAGTATTCAATTTCTATAGCTACACTGGCGGACTATTATATTATTCAATGACTTCCGTAACCTAATATCAAATTTGGTCACCATCCTCCAACTGCTAT